AGAGGGAGGCTGTGCAAAGGAGGAGAGACAGATCGTACTAAAGAATCAGTTTGATGCCTTGTTATCAGTAGTGAGTGGCTAGATGTTTGACAAGTGTAATCAGATCCCTTAGTGAGCAACTAGGGTTTTCCTTATGCCTCTTAGTATATAAAGAGTGCAAGACATTGTAATCTTTCTTAAGCAAAAAGTAAAGTATTCTCAGTAAAGTTTGAGCCTTTCTTATTTGTTCTTATGGTATCAGAGCTCTAAAACCTTAACAGGTGCTGTCATGGCAGAAGCGAATGATCCATACCCGTTTCCAACAGGTGTTCATATCACCCATTCCGTCACAATCAAGTTGAATGACACAAACTACTTACTATGGAAGACACAAATGGAGTCTCTCCTTCGTTCTCAGAAGCTTCTTGGCTTTCCTACGGGTCAAGTTCCGACTCCAGAAGCTACTGTAGTCAACACGGTTAATAATGTTCCTGTTGAAGCTCCGAATCCAAACCATGAAGCTTGGATTTATACTGACGAGCTTGTTAAATCTTGGATCTTTGGAACCTTGTCTGAAGAGGTCCTTGGTCTTGTTCATGCTCTTCCTACGTCGTACGAGGTGTGGCAAGCTCTTGCGTCTCATTACAACAAGAGCACTCTTGCACGTGAGTTTGAGTTACGACGTCGTCTTCAACTCCTTTCAGTGAAAGGTAAAACCTTTTCTGTCTACTGCCGTGAGTTTAGGATTTTGTGTGACAATCTGAGTGCTATTGGTAAATCTGTGGATGAAAACATGAAAATTTTCACGTTTTTGAATGGTCTGGGGCGTGAATATGATCCTATAACCACTGTGATTCAGAGTTCGTTGTCTAGACTCCCTCCACCAATGTTTAATGATGTTGTGCTTGAGATCTCTGCTTTTGATGCCAAACTCCAGTCCTATGAAGCTGCTCCAGACGTTAGTCCACATCTTGCCTTTTAGACTCAACGTTCTGGACAGCCTAACTCTGGTGGAAACAGAGGACGTGGGGGTTCTTATGGCCGTTTTGGAAATAGAGGTCGTGGAGGTTTTTCCACACGAGGCAGAGGTTTCACACAACAAGTTAACACTTCAGGATGGAATCAGTCTCAAACCTCACAGTCTTCAGGTCCTAGGCCAGTGTGTCAAATCTGTGGTCGTGTTGGTCATGTTGCGTTGAAGTGTTGGAACCGGTTTGATACAGCTTATCAGAGTAATGACACTCCTCAGGCGCTTGCTGCTCTTCAGGCTTCGGATGCTAGTGGTCGAGAATGGCTTGCTGATTCAGGTGCCACTGCTCACATGACCCCAACAAGAACCAACCTGCAGAACACTACTCCTTACAATGGACCAGAGACAGTCATGGTCGCTGATGGCACTTATCTCCCTATCTCTCATGTAGGATCCACTACCTTGAACACCACGACAGGTAGTATTCCTCTCAATGATATTCTTGTGTGTCCATCTATGCAGAAGTCTCTTTTGTCTGTTTCTAAACTGTGTGATGACTTCCCTTGTGGGGTCTATTTTGATGCTAATGCTGTCTCTGTGATCGATTTAACTACTCAGAAGGTAGTGACAAGAGGGAAACGTCGTGAAAAACTTTATGTGTTGGAGCAACCAGAGTTTGTAGCGTTTTATTCAAATCGACAGACTGTTGCAAGTGATATGGTGTGGCATCAGCGTCTTGGTCACGCAAATTCTCAAGTTCTCCAACTACTAAAGACCAGCAAGGCAATCTCAGTGAATAAGAGCAGCACTACTTCCGTCTATGAACCTTGCCAGATGGGAAAGAGTTCTCAACTTCCTTTTTTTTATTCTGTTTCTAGTGTAATGGAACCACTTGATCGAATACACTGTGATCTATGGGGTCCTTCTCCAGTTGTATCGGTTCAAGGATTCAAATATTATGCAGTATTTGTAGACAACTATTCTCGATACTCTTGGATCCTTCCTCTTAAAATGAAATCTGATTTCTGTGACGTCTTTATTGGGTTTCAAAAACAAATTGAGAATCAGTTGAGTAAGAAGATAAAGGTTTTTCAGAGTGATGGTGGGGGAGAGTTCATGAGTACACGGTTCAGAACACATTTACAGAATCATGGGATCCAACATCTTATCTCATGTCCTTCAACGCCTCAGCAAAATGGTATATCTGAACGAAAGCATCATCACTTGACTGAACTAGCTCTGTCTATGTTGTTCCAGAGCAAAGTGCCTCTGCGGTTTTGGGTTGAAGCCTTCTACTCAGCCAATTTCATCACTAATATGCTTCCTTCTCCATCATTGAAGAACAAGAGTCCGTCTGAACTTCTGCTGAAGAAGGTTCCTGACTACAGTTTTCTGCGAGTTTTCGGGTCAGCATGCTACCCCTGTCTTAGACCATTTACTCAACATAAGTTCGAACCTCGATCTCTTCAATGTGTCTTCTTGGGATACCATCCTCAGTACAAGGGATACCATTGCCTCTATCCACCCACAGGACGAGTCTACATAAATCGTCATGTGATATTTGATGAATCGTGTTTTCCTTTTATGTATAAGTACAAGCACTTGGTGGTTCAACAGACAACAGGTATCATGGGAGCTTGGCAAGCTGCAGACCCCCCTCAACTACGGACATTGCCAACTCAGTATAAACCTCATATAGCTTCACCTATACAGTCTGTAAATCAAGAAGAGATTACAGAATATCCCATTGAAGATAATACAGTGGAAACCATTCAAGAAGAAGTTGATGAGAGACCTGTCAATGATGAAGTTGTTGTGCAACCTATGGTTCCAGTCTCCTCAGAAGAAGTAACTGACTCAATGGCTGAGGAACAAGGGCATCCCATGAGAACCAGATCAAAGTCGGGTATTAGCAAGCCAAATCCGAGATATGCTTTACTTGCTAGTACCACCATCCCATCTTTACCAAAGACGGTAAAAGAGGCTTTAGCACATCCAGGCTGGAGACAAGCTATGCTTGATGAGCTAGAGTCTATCTTTCAGAATCACACATGGTCCTTGGTTCCTCCTGAAGCTACTATGAATGTCCTAGGTTGCCGTTGGGTGTTCACTGTAAAACTCAACGCAGATGGTACATTACAAAAGCTCAAGGCACGTCTTGTAGCAAAGGGGTTTAATCAAGAAGAAGGAGTTGACTTTAATGAAACTTACAGTCCGGTTGTTAGAACGTCTACCATCCGAATTGTGCTCACTGTGGCTACGGCTAAACAATGGAATATAACTCAACTTGATGTTAAGAATGCCTTCTTACATGGGGATTTGCAGGAGCAGGTCTGTATGTTACAGCCTCCTGGGTTTGAAGATCAAGCTCATCCTACTCATGTATGCTCTCTACACAAAGCACTATACGGCCTTAAGCAGGCGCCAAGGGCTTGGTTCAATAAATTCAGTAACTTCCTTCTTGAGTACGGCTTTGTGTGCAGTAAAGCAGATCCTTCTCTGTTTGTGTATCGTCACAATGGTGATACACTTGTGCTGTTGTTATATGTGGATGACATTTTGCTCACAGGTTCAAATCCTAACCTGTTCAAGTCACTGATTCATGAGTTAAGTGATCGTTTTGCTATGAAGGACCTTGGGAACTTTCATTACTTTCTTGGAGTACAAGCTCAGCACTACCCTGATGGTCTGTTTATCCATCAAGAAACTTTCATTACTTTCTTGGAGTACAAGCTCAGCACTACCCTGATGGTCTGTTTATCCATCAAGAAAAGTACACGGAAGAGATTCTCCACAGTGCTGGTATGTCATCTTGTAACCCAATTCATACTCCACTTCCTTTGCGTCTGGATCATGTGTTTCAGGACACCAAACCGTTTGCTCAGCCGTTTTATTTTCGAAGTCTTGCGGGTAAGTTGCAATACCTGACCATCACACGACCCGACATACAGTATGCTGTGAATTTTGTATGTCAGAGGATGCACTCACCAACTGAAGCAGATTTTGGTCTATTGAAAAGAATCTTACGCTATCTTCGTGGTACATCAACTATGGGGTTGTTCTTGTCGAAATACAGTGGTCTTGATATCATCGCTTATAGTGATAGCGACTGGGCAGGGTGTCGCGATACCAGAAGATCTACTACTGGTTTCAGTGTGCTACTTGGATCAAATATTATCTCATGGTCCGCTAAACGTCAGCCTACGGTGTCACGGTCTTCGACTGAGGCAGAGTATAGAGCCCTTGCAACAACTGCATCTGAGCTTACTTGGGTTTCCTCTGTTCTGCGTGATCTTTGCGTGCCACAGACGAAACCTGCTGTTCTTCGTTGCGATAACTTGTCTGCAGTTTACCTCTCCGCCAATCCAGTCCTCCATAACAGGTCTAAACACTTTGACACTGATTACCATTATATCCGTGAGAGGGTTGCACTTGGAGTTCTTGAGGTTCAACATGTTCCATCTCATCTCCAACTTGCGGACATATTTACCAAGTCATTGTCTAGGCAAGCCTTTCAGAGTCTGAGACATAAACTGAATGTGTGTGTTTCTCCCACACTCAGTTTACGGGGGAATTAAAGTATAAAGGCCCAGAGATGTCCTCAAGCCCAGTTGGTATTGGCCCAAGAGACTAAAGCCACTAACGGCTCTCAGCATTCAAGCTGCAACACGATAAAGAAAGTGAGACAGAGGAGAGAGGGAGGCTGTGCAAAGGAGGAGAGACAGATCGTACTAAAGAATCAGTTTGATGCCTTGTTATCAGTAGTGAGTGGCTAGATGTTTGACAAGTGTAATCAGATCCCTTAGTGAGCAACTAGGGTTTTCCTTATGCCTCTTAGTATATAAAGAGTGCAAGACATTGTAATTTTTCTTAAGCAAAAAGTAAAGTATTCTCAGTAAAGTTTGAGCCTTTCTTATTTGTTCTTACTTTTTTGGTCTTATATTCCGATTTTGTTTAACACTTTCAAATGATCTTGTTCTTTGACTTTTTTGTTACGTATACCATCACTTGATTAAATGCAGATTTCTATTAAGAATGTGGATGGAAAACAATGTTAAACCTAGAAGTCGACAGCTCCAAAGCCATCCACTTCAAAATAGACGAAGAAGACGCAACCCTTAGTCATGGTAATAAAGCCACAAAGATTTCAAAAAAGATTATGGACGGAAAGATGACTATAAACCTAGAGGTGGCTAGCTCCAAAAGCATCGACCTTGGGATCGTTCAAGTCATGCAGATTTTTGTAAAGAAGTTGAAAAGAAAGAGCATTGCCATGAAAGATGTGGCTAGCTTTGACACCATCAAAAACGTCAAGGCGAAGATCTATGGGGGCCAATAGCTCCAAGATGGTTTCACAGTAGCTGACTACAACATACCGAAGGAATCAACCCTTCACTTGGCACTGCGTCTGCTGTATTGTTCTCGTTGTGAAACTAAATGAGATTAACTTCAGTTTCTTAATAATCGTTATAGAAAAGAGTTTTTGATAGCTAGACCAGCTTTGATACATAGTTTATGGAAGAGTTTTTCACCCTTTCAATCTAAATATTGAGTTTAACAAATACCTTAGCAAATATATATATATGAGTAGGCAATTATGTTAAGGTGTTAAACAAATAGGTTAGGGTATGCGTGTAGTTGTTATCTTACCTCCGCGTTCTATCATCTACGAGCTTTACGTTTTTCTTTTCAGTATTGTTAAATTTACTAATTAAAACGTTTCCACAAACAAGAAGGCGAGCGAAGTTGCTAAGCCTTTGGTGGTGGCAGAGATTCCGTTTAAGATTCATATGGTTAGGTATCAACGATATGAAGAGGTTATGCCTTAGCACTGAAACAAAGGGAGGTTAGAGAACGTTAGTGATTACTATGTTCACCATTGTGCCTGTCAATGGTGGTTGTTAAGATTCCTGATGATAAGGGCGGTGAAGATGAGATATCCGGCGGCAATAATGTGGCAGATAGTGATAAGCTTAACACAGTTCCCTGAGATTGCTGAGGTAGAAGAAGACAAGGATGAGTATCATAGATGCTTTGGATGAGCAATAGCAAAGCTGACTTTGATGAATGAAGGTGAATGTCAATTTTTTTTTTTCTTTTGCTATATTAAAGAAGGTGACATGTTAGAGGCAATATGTGTTTAGATTATGATTTGACCTCTTTCTTAAGTTTTGTAGAATGGAGATTCATGTGTTTATTGATACTTTTCCAGAAATGGACTATGATTGCATCTTTCAGATTCACTCCTTCTTTTTTTGCTCTGTCCTGTCAAGGGTGTTTCATGTTTGTTACCGGAGTCTACTGTCTAGTATAAAAAACGAGGGAGCATAATAACTTAGCATAAACATTCATTTTTGCTTATATAAGAGCGCCTATTAAATCAGATATGATATTTTTTTTTTATATATATTTCTTTTTATTGATAACATCTACCCCCTCCATTCTGACATTCTGTGATGATCTCACCCTCTAGCTTCAGTTTTGACTTACACTGTGGTTGTATGTGTGTTTGTCAGCTTGCGTAATGATACATATTAAAACTTTTAATATCAAAATTGATAAGTTATTGTTCATTGATACTCAAACATGTACTCTCTTGAGTTTTTTTGAGTTTCGCCTTCCAATTCTATCAACGCACTTATTTGTTAATTGTCTATTAAAAATTAGGTCGTTGAGAATTATAGAATATGTATAAGTTAGACTATGATAATTGAACATAAAGCCATGTCACAGAAATTTGTTAACCAAGTTCATTTGATCTTTGTGTATCTATCATTTTCACTACAATTAATTGTTTTATCATAGCATGTATGGAAGCTTAGTTGTGTAAGCTCTCCCTTAATAATGTTCTAATTTCAATATGTTTGTTTGGTTTAAATGGTTAATCATACTAAATATAAAACTTGACAGAAAAGTGGTTCTTTGGAAAGGAAAACCGAAAAAAGTGTTTCATGATATTGTTTTATTGAACTTTTATTTTTCCTAAAGGAATATTATTCGCTGGTGAAAGAAACCCAATACTACATACAACTTGGATAATCTACAAACATGATGATTAAATAGCTTTAACAGGAGTAAAATAAGTTGATCAAATAAAAATATGGACAAAAGAACATGCTCGGACAATGATCACGAGCCAACGCGACGATATCTCTAACGATTTGGCCTCGGCATTCGGATATTCGGTTCGGTTCCGGATAGGAACCATTTAGTTCCGGGTATATCGGATAATTCATTCTTATACCCAATAGATACTTATGAGATTTCGGTTCGGTTCCGGTTCGGTTCTAGTTCGGTTTCGGTTCGGTTCTGGGCACCCATTTAATATATAAATCAAATATATATATATATACAAAATATATTAGTTAATATATTAATTTAAATGGTTTAGCGTTTACACGCTTACATATTAGTCAATCCAACAAGAGTTCGAATCAATAAAATAATTTTATAAATATTTATCATATTTTAATATAGCCATATATATTTATAATATAAAAGAATTAAATAAAATATAACGTGGTCTGGTGGTAAAAATATACTTAATCTTTGTATCTAACATGGGTTCTCGGTTCGGTTCTGGTTCTGGTTCCGGTTCGGTTTTTCGGGTATAGAAATATAGGAACCATTCGGATATTTAAGAATTTCGGTCTGATTTCGGTTTCGGATATTTTGGTTCGGTTTTTCGGTTCTGGTTTTTTGCCCAGGCCTACTAACGGACTATGTAAACATATAAGCTGTGTAACAAGAAACAAAGTTTTATGTTCAATACAGCTTATCTAATAATGGAGGCTAACAAATGGTTTTGAAAAATCATTTGTGTGTGTGTGAGAGAGAGAGATTGTATTATACTTAATCAAATGTAATATTTTTTTTATAAATAATTAAATATTGAGATATGGTTATATGTTATTTATACAATTATTCTGAAAATCAAGATGAAATTAATGTATTCCTTTTTTTTGTTTGCTCTTTTGAGGTACCCGTCATAAATCATGAGAAGAAAAAAAACTCATTTTGGCTTCTTTCCTCCTTTTCCTTTTGCATGTTGGGGCCTCCTTCAAACAAAGTTGTCGAATATCATGCATAGAAACATTAACCTTCTTTTTTTTTTTTTTTTTTTAGAAACATTAACCTTCTTTATGTACAATTTTCCTAGTTTTATTGACGATTTATTTAGAATATGTACAAGTATAGACAAAACGAATACGTTAAAGAAAGATTTCTTACCTGATAAAAATATATATAAATAAAACAGTGTACGTACGTGTGTGTCCATTATATTACATTAAATGTGGAAGGTAGAGATTGAGCCATGGCAGACCAAGCTGTCTCCTTCAAATCAGCCTTGGAATAACTCAATTTTGAGTTACTAATTTAAACTTCTGCATTTCTCGACATGATCAAAGAAACTTGTAAAGTAATTAAAATATCGTTTAGTGAATTAGTAATGTATATTATAAAATGAGCAGGATTTACGGCTTTTATTGAAAATTTTCAGACAATGAAAATGCCTACGTTTAAACAACCAATATGAAGTCCAATGTTCGGATTCTTGCTGGCAAAAGTAAAAGTCAACCAATGTAAGAAATGTATTTTAGGTATACGCACTAAGGATGGGACGGATCCAGATATCTGGGAAATTTGAAGTATCCGGATCCGGATTCGTCAGATCTGTGATTTTAGTATTCAGATTCATGTCTTCCAGATATTTGGGCTTTGGATATGTGTCTAGATATTGTGATATCCACGAATATCTGGATTCAGATTTAGAACAGTAAAAATAATTAAAAAATTGAAAAAAATCAAAAATTCTAAAACTAACATAAACTAAATATTTATGCATAGTTTATGAATATATATATATGATATATAATATTATTAATATAAAATTAGATTATTATTAAACTTATTTTATGTAAAAATATTAATATATCGGATATAATTAATAATAAAGTAAAAATTTAATATTTTTTTAAAATACGGATCCGAATCCGGATATTCGCACCAAAAAATTAAGATATCTGGATCCGGATTCGGTTTGCACGGATCCGAGATTTTACTATCCGAATTTAGATCCGGTCACACCCAAATACCCTAATTTCGGAGCGGATCCGGAGCGGATCTCGGATCGAATCCGGATTCCAGATAAAAGTACTAGCCCTAATATGCACACTGAAATATTGTTTTACAACTTCAATACAAAATTTGTTAATTTTATATATTATATGACACTTTATATATTTTCTTATTTATTTTTCTATTGTTTAGAATATTGTTAGATCTACAAGTGATTTTTTTTTTAAACATAGAAATTTAAATATTTTTTAGTCTGTGTGTACAAGTTTAAAACGGCAATTAAGATAAACTGAGGGAGTCATAAACATCATTAATTAATATTTTTGTATGGACTGGTTCAAAATATGACATAAAATTAATAATTTATATGTTTATAAATTTATATAAATACAAAATACCATTATAGTATTTTTTATATTTATAATGTGATTATTTTTATATTTTTTAACATTTAAAATATTTGGATGAGATTTAGTAAAATTATATCTTAAACTACATTTAAATTCTATAAACATATTTTATACATACCAAATAGTATTTATAAAAACAATATGAATGACAAATTTCAAAAACAAAAAAATTATATACACTAAAATCAATTTTTTATTTTAGAAAAAAAAATAAATAAAAGAATTTTTTAGAAAATTGTTTAAATTAATACTCTATAACTTAATAAAATAGTATGGTCCTGACATTATTAATGTATATTTTTTTACTATACCCCTAATGTTTCACTAGTTTCATTTATTTATATGTTTATGTGTATCTATTATATATATATATATATATATATATATATATAATCTCTAACTGGATATCAATTTTTAAAAAAATCAGAACTTTAGATAGCAATGTTCTGCCCTCTGTAATGCTATCTTTTCTCATCCCTAGCTATGGGGACTGAATGATTAATCTATGTTTTGTGTTAAAAAAAAAGATAGCAATGAAAGTTAAATTTAAAGACAATGCCAAACCTATTGAAGAGATTGTTCGTATGTTCGACAAGACAATGCGTAACCGCATAATGTCCACCAGATACTATTTAAAGCCAAAGTTGAAGGGTATGTCGATGATTTGTAGCTCATGTAGCTTAAGGATATTTACATTACATTCAAATTCTTATTAATTTTGTAAATACATTTCTTTTACAATGATCATAAATTTAACGTTTCATCAAAAAGATAAATAAATTGAAAGTCTTAATTATAATTTTTAAAACATCGTTACTAATATATGGTTTATTTTTAAAGAAAAAAACATTTTATGGTGTAAAAACTTTTTTTTTGTAATCAATTTTAGTTTTTGTTTAACGAAGTGATTTACAAACTATATGACATGCTTTACTGTTTTATTAAGAAACTATATAGTATTACATAGACTCCGAAAATTTGATTTATGGTAAGCTACTAAAACTTTTACGCCTCGATTATATATTATGTTTACATACATCTTATTGCATGTAAGAGATGATCCAAGTATTCAGTGGGAGCCACTTAAATTTTATTAATACACCAATATAAATTTATATCGGTGGAAAAATGTGGAGAAGTATTTGAGAAGATGAGAGGGGTCACAGGAAGAGAGATGCGGTTTGGTATATTTCTCCCAACAAAGGAGTAGCGTTCAGTCAAAAAACAAATGAGTATGAAATTGATTGGTAATAAATTTTTTTCCTGAAATCTACATAATTTAGAAATGTCATGTGTTTATAACTTTTTCAATTTTTCAACTGTTTAATTGCAGCTTGTGACCAAAGTAACAACAATACATAGACTATTTATATAAGCATATCACTCACTATAAAATAGGCTTTCTGCAAATTTTCCGTCGTGGGCATCTTATTATATTCATATATGTATGTTCTTAAAGGCTTTCTAGCCTGAATTATGAAAATAATATGTTCTCCTTAACAAACCTTCACATTTACTATTGTTTATAGGCATGTTTTGCGTTAATTGATGCTCAGATCAATATTTTAGAATGCATAAATATTCTATCAATCTGAATTTTACATAAAGGTTGATTTTCAGATAACCAGAATTATGCATTACATTAGTAGAAATAATTATTCATAATATTTATGCACTAAATTACGGTAAAGGGCCACAGATTTAGTGTAGCATTTTAGTTTTGGTTCAAATTTATCAAAAACAAAAGGATTGTAACCTTGAATATTAACAAATACAAAAGAAGCAAGGACTTGGGTTTTAATTGGAGTTCTGAAAGTTATGTCATCTGCGTGGGCGTGTTTGTGTGTGTATAGATAGAGAGATGGTCAAAGAAAAAAATGAGATGTCAAATCAAATAACAGTGAGGGAGAGAGGAAAAAAGAACTGTTGATACCATCAATCTTTGCTCCCAAGTCTGCCCAACCCCATCACGCCTCCACTCTCTTCTCTTTGTTTGTATCACTCTCATTTACATTACTTTTGCCCCTTCTTCACCTATTTATCATCATCTTCATGATCCATTCTATATACATGACTGCATGCACACGTATGCATATACAGCACTAATGGGATACTCACTGTTTACGCATTCCTTTATACTTTTTTGAAATATACGCATACCTTTTTACATCAATGTTAGATTATTGTATTTGTGTGTGTCATGCCACAGCCGAGAGATATCATGTATAGATAAAGAGGTGTAATGTTACTTCAACGAGCAAATATGTCTCTCCACTAACAAAAAAAATAAAAATAAATAAATAAAGCGCATGTTGAAAATTAAAAGCTCTTTGGATCTTGAATTCTAACATTACCAACAATTTCAACCATATGATATACGTATAGTATCATTACATCATTGTAAGATAAACGAAATATGATAACGTATAACTTGATGATCATCCTAAGAAAAGTTCAGCACTTGAGTAGTCATATTCTCTAGTGTCCATTCTCTCATTATTCTTCATGATGTCACTAGACAATTAAGTGGCATTATTTGAGTACTATTATAAAATAATATCAAAGATAACTCCACCAAAAAACAACTATCTTTCAAAAAGCTATCTTTCAAAAAGCAACAAATATAGAATCTATAATATATTTTCTCGAATTAAATTTTGGAAACATTCATTATGATTTAGAATATAGAAAATTATTAACAAAATGCATGAACGAATATATAGCATCTATTTATCGAGTATTTTACTATCCTACAGCAAATACTATAACTTGAACATTTATGATTTATCTCGTTAGAAACAAAAGTAAATTAACGCAAAATTATACAAACAAATAGACACCGAGAAGAAACCTCATTAGGTAAAGTTACTCATTGCCAGTACGAAACTAAAGCTACAATTTGAAAAAAAAATCCAGGTGATATGACGCTTTATTTATTTTTATCTACGATCAATTAGATGATACAGCTCTTACTCAGAGAAGCATACCTCCAGCAAAACTTGGTCCAGAGATTTAGGTATTCTTAACATACATACATATATATATATATATATATATCAATTTACTACGTACTTATACTAATTTATATAAGCTATTTGGACTCATTGATCATTGTCTAATTGTTCTACCTCAGAGGCAGGCTCATCTTCTTCATCAAATCCATCAATACCATAAGCTCCATGGCCATTTCCAAAAGCCTTGATGTGATCTTTCAGAGATCGCTTGTGCTTGAAATCAGATCCACAAATGCAATACCAAAGCTTACCACAATTCTTCTCATGTGTTCTCCAGTCCCCTCGGACCGCGAAAGCCTTTCCACATTTCCTACACATGAAAGGTTTGATTCCATGTTTCCTCTTATAATGCGTTTGAAGTGTTCTGAAGTCTTTGAGAGGCTTTGCCCTTGGATGGTCAATGTTGTTGCGACAGCTTGGTGCGCAGCAGTAGCAAGGAAGCCTCAGCATTCCAGTTGGCTGCGTTCCCCTTAGAGATTCGGGTCCTTTTCTGTATTGTGATCCATGGCCCCACATATGCATCTGTAAACAAAATCGTGTATATTTATGATTATATAGGGTTTTAATAACTCATATAGTAATTCAGAAAAAAAATACCCATAAGATATGAGTTTTGAAACTTTAGCTGACGAATGAGTTTAGTAGGCATTTTAGTAACATGTATCTAGTATAAGATGTTACGATTACTCTAACCGGCATACATAGATTAACTGGCATAACCTTGAAGCATATACATGTAAAAATATAAGAAGTATTTTTATCCAACGACGATGTTACACAAATTCTGAAATGTAAGAAATTATAGAAATATATTTCATAAACTAAATAGAATCAATATATAACAAGATGTATAACTGCATGCTTAGGGTAAAGAAAATAATCAAGGAGACTAAAAAGTAAGATGATTAGTTCATGATCAATACAAGATTTTATGAATATTGAATATGTTAACTGAATGTGAAATTATATGCGTACTGTTATGTTACACGTTAGTCATTAAAAGGCTCTCATACAAAATGAGGATGACACACACTTGCCAATACTGTAGAGAGAAGCAGTAAAGCCACAGAGTCTCTGAAAGTACTAAAGACATAAAGAACATTTACTGTCTTGTTAAATCTCAATCTCAGTTTTCACAGTCTCAAGCCTCTCGGTTCTTTGTAATGCAATGATTTATACACGCATTATTGACGTCGTTTGATTGATTAGAAAACAGTTTGTATATACATCTACCAATTAAAGGTGAAAAACGAATTTTCTTTGGTTTTTTACCTTTTGGTTTTACTCGGAAAAGGAAGAAAGAAAATCGATTTACAAATGAAAAAAAACATATACATAAATATATTAGAGTGAGTTTATATTTTAAGAACCTGCATGTTGTTGTATCTGTTGAAGGTTTTGAAGCAAACAGGACAAGAGAACTGCGTAGGGCCAATGAGAATCTGAGAAGGTGTAGGGATCCAATATTGACCCTTGTTCAGTTTACTGATTCTACATCCGCCGTCTCCGCTGAATGAATCTTCGTCGTCATCTTTTTCTCCTCCGGCGCCGCTGTGGTAGTCGTTGTGTAGATCTTTCTTGTCGGTCATGTGCTCATGATGATGAGTGGTCCCCGAGGAAGAAGACATCATGAGCAAAGGGGCTATCTCTCGAGAATTAGGGCTTGGAAGGCCTATGTAAAGAGCCACAGTGACGTCATGGTCATCGTCATCAAGATTAAGATCAGCTTGATAGTGATGATGATTGTAGTTAACATCCATGGAGGTTGAAGGTGGTTCTTGAATTAGGTCATGGTGGTTTTGTTGTTTATTGGCGGGGCTGAGGCTGAGGAGAGGGAGGGCTTCACGGAGAGGAGGGGAAGGAGGAGGAGTTGGTTGTGGCGGTGGACTGCAGAGGTCGCCGGATTTAGGGAAGAAGAAGGAAGAGGGAGAAGGAGTAGAAGGGTTATTGGAGGATATAGGATAATGGTGAAAAGGATTGGACTTGAACCAGCCAGTGAATAAATTGGAATAAGGATCAGTCATGGTGAAGAGAGAAAGAAAGAAGGGACTAGTTTTTACTCTTGTGAGATTATCTTTATACAAGAAGACACATAGATGGAGATGAAGATGGAGATTGTGATGGGATGGGTAGAGAGAGAAAGATTTCTTATTCTTTTTGTATTGGAGAGAGCTGCTCTCTTTGGTGACTATGGTAAGGAAATTATGGTCAATTCTTTGTTCCTCAGATTTCATATCAATTATGTTGGTTATTTTTTGTCAATTTACCAACAGGTGGATTCCATTCTTTTTCTATAAATTTCTCATGAAGGAATAAATTTGTAAAGAAAATTTTTCCTCTTCAATTTTTATGAGGAACAAAATGAACAAAAATTCTTTTTTTTTTTCAGTTTTGCAAATCCTCAAATGAACTTTTATTTATTGTTTTGTTTATTTTTTCTTTTCATCTAGCGGTACCGATTGAAGCCTAATCATTTTGAAGTTTATTTTTAGTGCAACCTGCAGTGAATTTTTTTTTTTAAAAAGACTTTAACCCAAAAAAAAGTATGAGCATGTCAAATACATATGCTCGTAGACGCATAAGTAATGATTTCATTAAGATATGTAGGTACTTATTCTTTATAATTGGCATGCAGGTGCGGATAGTTAAGGTAGTTTAGAATTTGGGTCATTTGGTTCGACCAAAATCTCGTAGAATTGAGCTGGATAAAAGTTTGATTCGGTTCAATTTGGTATTGATAATTCGGTTTTACATTTTTTACCGAAACTAATTATATTCCAGTAAAAAATTGGTTAAATTCAGGTAATTTAGGTTAGTTTAGTTATAATGGTTCCAAAGTTTAGGTAAATCCTATTAGTCTGATTCAAAATTTAGTTAACAATTTTATTTTTTGAAAACCAAACTAACTGATTTTTTTTTTTGTAACACAACCTTCATTAATTCAAACTTAAGGATCCAAAGGGTTCATTATAGAATTCCCAGAAAACAGAGCATGTTTAGCCAACAGATCGGCATCGATATTCCTAGAACGAGGAATCCATACAAAAGAGCAAAGCTCAAAAGAAACAGAGAAATGGCGGATGTCCGCAACCAAACCATACAGTTCTAGTGGAACCATATTCGAATTTAGAGCTGCTATCAGCTGAGCAGAATCAGACTTAAAGATGATTTTTTGAATACCCAAATCTTTGCATTTCAAGACTGCGTATCGGAGCGCCATACCCTCAGCACTGAGAGGGGACCGTACAAATCTCGAGAAGGCCTCATCCTGCAGCTTCTCCGAGTTATCCTGGAGCACCCAGCCGAGCCCCGCTGTATTGGTGTCACCTCGCCACGCGGCGTCGATCCTAACGGTTGTACTTCCTTCCGGAGCAAGATAGGGAGGATTTTTTTTCTTCTCCCTTGGGATTCTCTTCTCCTGAGCGAAGAACCATTCCCGAGCCATTGCAGTAGCTCATGTGATGGTCTCCTCAGGTGTGGCTTCCTTGTTGTTGAAAATAAGATTATTTCTAGCCGTCAATATCGCCCATAGAATACACGGAACCAGAGATCCCACTCCTAGTCCCACCGAAGGGAGTGTAATCAATTCACAAAGGGAAGACCAACTCACAATCAAATCTAACAATCCTCTAACTCCCCCGTTCAAGGAAAGTGGTGCCAGCTCCCAAACCTTCTTGGCAAAACCGCACTGGAGAAGAAGATGATTAGTAGATTCGATTTCGTTGCATCTTTTACAGCGATGGTCAACGTTAATATTGCGTACAGCTAGATTTTCCCCCACCGCAAGGGATCCTTGAAAAGTCTTCCATAGGAAGTGTTTGACCTTTGGTGCCACATGCAGATTCCACACTTCCTGGTTCCAACTATTGATGGAGTTATTGGCAAACTGACCTTCATCCCCTTCTTCCAAGGCCGCATAGTATCCAGATTTAACGGTGAAAACACCAGATTTAGTTTTTAGCCAGACCAGCTTGTCCGGAGCCCCGGTTGTGCTTGGTGTAATGAGCTTAATTTTATCTTCTTCCACTGGAACCCATCGTCGAATAGCTTCACTATCCCACTCATTCGAGTTTGGGAGAAGAAGGTCTGCAACTTTGACAGATAGGCCATCAATCGGGGCAGGTCCCATTGGTCTTTCCTGGTGGGAGAGGCTAAGCCAAGCATCATTCCAAATGTTAACAGAGGTACCATCCCCAATCACCCACCCCGCATTTTTGAGGGCCAGGTTTCTTCCCACTAGTATTCCATGCCATCCATGAGAGGCAGAGGATCCCTGATTTACTGTAAGGAAGCTCTCATTATGGCAGTATTTACCAAGTAAAACTCGACCAAGAAGGCAAGTCGGGTTGTCGATAAGGCGCCAGCTAAGCTTGGCAAGAAAAGCGACGTTGTAACACTCGAAGTCCCTGAATCCTAAACCACCAAGCGCTTTTGGTTGCTTCAGTCTGTCCCAAGAGACCCATGCAATCTTTCTATTACCGTCCGACCCATCCCACCAGAACCGTGTAAGCACCGACTGTATTCTCTTGATCAGGGATATTGGGAGCTTAAAACACGTCATAGCATACGATGGGATAGCGGAGAGGACGCTTTGGAGCATGACTAGCTTCCCAGCTGGAGATAAATGTCTATTGGCCCAGCTCTTAGCCTTTTGATCGATTTTAATAACTATCGAGGTTAAGAGATCCTTCTTCTTACGGCCGAAATGCTCAGGGAGACCGAGATACTTGCCAACTCCACCCTCATTATGTATTTGAAGGATGTCTCGGACTCTGTTTTTTAGGGCACCAGGGGTCCTCTTAGAAAATGTTATCGAAGCTTTAGCTACATTTATAGACTGGCCAGATGCTGCACCGTATTTCTGCCACACATCTACAAGATCAAGACTGCTATCCTCAGTTTCCCGAACAAAAAACATGGTATCATCGGCGAAGAGAAGGTGGTTCACACGAGGACACCCCCGCGCAACTCGAATACCTTGTAAGAGACCATTAGCTTGCGCTTTGTTACATAGACCTGAGAGAACTTCACTACACAAGGTAAACAGGTATGGTGATAGCGGGTCTCCTTGACAGATTCCCCTACTCAGTTTAACTCTTCCTCTAGGCGTGCAGTTGATGAGGAAGGCGTAAGTAACAGAAGTGACGCAAGCCATAATCAATGTGATCCACTGGCGATGAAATCCTAATCTCAGCAGAACTTGTTCAATGAAGCTCCACTCTAGTCTGTCATAGGCTTTACTCATGTCGGTTTTAATCGCCATTGAGCAAATATTTCCGCTTCAGATGTCTTCAGGTAGTGTAGCACCTCATGGGTTATCAATACATTATCTGAGATTGCCCTACCCCTTGACGAAGGCCGATTGGTTCTCAGATATCAGAGAGGGCAGTAGCTGTTGCAGGCGCTTTGTCATTAGCTTAGAAATAATCTTGTAATAGACATTACAAAGCGAAATCGGGCGGTAATCTGCAACTGCTTTTGGATTCTGAATTTTTGGTATCAATCGGATGAAGGTCTCGTTAATTCTCGCAGGTAGAGAGCCAGACCTAAAGAAAGCTTGGATTTCTTCCACAATCTCAGCACCAATGAAATCCCAATTGGAGTGGAAAAAACTAGCTGAAAACCCGTCTGGACCGGAAGCTTTATCGGGATGAATCGAAAGTACCGCCTCCTTGATTTCCTGCGCAGACGGAGGCCTGATCAGCATTTCGTTGTCAGAGTCAGAGATCATAGGCTGAAGTGCTTCCTCAACTACAGCTCTACTGTCGCCATGACCAGTGGTAAATAGAGCCTGAAAGTAATTGGCGATAGTTTTGCTGATCTTATCTTCACTGTATACTATTTCTCCTGACTCATTCTCTAACACCGAAAAAGAATTAATCCGTTTACGGTTTCTGGTTGTAGCGTGGAAGAAACCTGAGTTCCTATCTCCCAATCGTAGCCAGAGTAAACGGCTTCTTTGCCTCCAGTATTCTTCTTCTTTTTTATAAGCTTCTTGCAGTTCAGAGTTTAACTTCTGGATCAGAGACGTATCATTGGTCATCTCCGTTTGCACTGCTTCTAAATCCTCCTGCAATTTGACGATAGCAAGCCTCCTATTACGATAATTCTCCTTACTCCAGTGGGAGATTGCACTGCGAGTGAGAGCTATGCGCTGTGTAACCGACCTTTTGCGCGCCTCTCTCCAAGTGTTTTTAATTAGCTCCTGAACTTCAGGATTATCTCTCAGTCTTCTATCAAACCGAAAAACTCATTTTCTTCTCTTTTTCTCAGGTTCAAAGATTGAAGCTATTGGTTTGTGATCACTTCCTTCATAGGTGAGATAAATATTTCTAGCTGTAGGGAATCGCTCTGCCCAACTAGAATTAGCAGATGCTCTATCAAGCCGACATCGGACTAGATGATCCCCTCTTTGTCCCCTCCAAGAAAGAGGATCGCCGGAGAATTGCAAATCATAAAGATCTCCTTCCGAATAAAAGGTTCTGAGATCATTAAAGGAGCTTTCAGGCCTTTGAGTACCACCCTCTTTTTCGCTCTCATGTAGAATATCGTTGAAATCCCCTGTGATAAACCAAGGGGCATCTCTAGCATCAGATAACGATATCAAATAATTCCAGAGTTCCCGACACTTAATGTGATCTGTATCCGCATACACAAATGAGGAGAAGAAACTCTTGCCCTCAAAACCAATAACAGTGTTAATCAAGTTGGCATTCGCCTCAAGGATTTCCACCTTCACTCGTTCCTTCCACAACAGGGCTAAACCGTCAGCCTCATGCCCCACAGGGGAAACAATCTCAAAATAGTCAAAGCCTAACTGCTCAAGTTTCTTCATTACAAATTCATTGGGGTTTTTAGTTTCTAAGAGGAAAAAGATATCAGGATCAATCTCACACTTGATATCCTTTAGATGTTGGACCGTTGAGGGATTCCCTAACCCTCGAACGTTCCAACTTACAACTTTTAAGGACCGGGAGTTAACGGATTGTGAAAATCCGTCTTCTTTCTTCTGCTAGGTGGAATGAGATTGCAGATTGGTTGGTTATCTGAGCTCCGAGATCCAGACTCTTGTGGTTCATCTCTTTGTATTCCTTTTGCCTTTGCTCGATTCCCTTTACCTACAACTAGCTTCCTTCTCACCAAGGGTGGTTTAGCCTGTGTAGTCTGTCTCTTCCTAGAGCTGGTCCCTTGCAACGATTTAGGACTATTTTGTAGTCTTCTTGAACCCGGTGGTCGGCCATGTTTACGTCTCATGGTGGGAGCAACGTTCTCTGGTTGACTGACAGGAATTAGCTCAATGGGGGGGGTCCAAGTCGTTGGAGAGCAGAAATGTGGGGGCTTAAAGAAGCAGGTTCCTCCACCGGACCAAGACGTTGAAGAGCTGAGATATGGGGACTTAAGGGGCCTGCATCTTCAGCCGGTCCAAGACGTTGAAGAACTGAAACATGAGGACTTAAGCTCAAGGGTTCTTGTAGCGGAGCATGTTTAGCTAAATCCGCTAAGATCATTTGTGTAGCTGTTTCCTCGACTTCCCCTAACTCTTCCGCCTATCTGAATCGTTCTTTACGCACAACACTTTCGGTAGGATCAGAACAGTTGGCATACTTAGTCATAACATCTCTAACTTTTCCCATTGCTCCTTGAAGAGCTTCTTGAGGGACCTGTTGCACAATCTGTTGGAACTGCTCCGAAGGGGAACCCCCCTTTTAGGAGTCTCATGAACACTCTTCGAAGAGCTTGATCTTTCTCTCCATTGTGTGTTCTTTAGGGAGTTTTTATTGTTTCCGGAACGTAGTCCAGATTCTCTCTGCATCTCCACATTGTAATTTCGATCAGGGGAGGGGGATTTTGGAGTACCCCTTGAGACTTCCCGATACACACTTCTTATGTTATCACGTTGGATTCTGGAAGATGGGAAATTCCCCTCTCTGTAGCTGTGAGTTTCGTAGCGGGATTTCTTGTGGTTCAAGGAATCCCTGTGGTAGCCACCACTAATTCTATCTTTCACATTATCTCTAGCTCTTTTGGAAGGATGGCGAGAAGAGCTACCAGCGTGAACTTCATTTTTCCTAAGGTTTTGCCTCTCTGGCTGACGGGGATAGTAAGATGGATTGAAGTGTTCCCTAGGCGGCGAACCTCGGCGAGAGACCTCACCTCTATCAGTAAGGTGATGGTTGACCGAAGAATGAGCTGGTGATGGTCGCTGGTGTTTTTCATCTTCTTTTAGAGCTGCTTCAGCTCTCTTCTGAGCTTTAAGTTCCAGACAGTCTCTAATTTCATGGTCCAGGCGACCGCGCAAACAGAACAGTGTTTCTCTAACTTTTCGTAGACTAGTGTGGCTGTGCCTTCTTCGCCTTCCGAGAACTCCACTACGGTCTTCTTAATGAGTGGGAGCCTTCCATTAATGTGGACTTTCATTCTGAACACTAGAGAAGTAATTTCCGCCTCTTCGTAGATTCCAATATTTTCTCCAATGGTACGTATAGTTGCTTATGTCCATAAGTGTGCCGGAATCCCTTGGACCTTAATCCAGAAAGGGATTAACAATGGAAAGTCCGGTGCTGTAGTACGTTTCCATCGTTCGAGGATAACCATCCACCTAGCATAGTGAAAAGGTCTTTGCTCCAGGACTGCTAGGAGGTCGGATTCAAGGGAAAATTGGAACTGAAAGAGGCCCTGTCCTAGATCAGAACCTACAGGCTTCACCTCCGTCTTCCAGTGTTCTGTGAAGAACGGGATGAGTGACCAGATCTTCTGAACAGAGGGATTAGTGACTTTGCCGATGATGGTGAGCGCATGTTTCCTGAGTAGAGCCGAGTTGTCCGACGCCGGAATTTTTACTCTGGCTGAGCGAGGGGATTGATAGGATTCAACAGGTAAATTCTTACCCTTTTCGGCTGAAGAGAGTCTTCTATGGGCCATTGATGCGTATGGGGAAAGTTACTAAAGCACAAGAACTAGTAATCACCAGTAAGGAAAGACAGCGAGAAAGAGCTCAATATCTCAGTCCTTCTTGCGCTTGAGAGAGAGATAGTTTAGAACCCTTTCAAAAGTGCAGAGAAAAGAGAACCAGGGATCTCTCTCCTTGGTGGAAACTCCATAACAGCAGCAGTGACCTGGTAGGAGGTCGGCGGCGGTCCCTCCGACACCGTCGGGGGAGAGAATCCGGTGGGTTGGTCTGCACGCGCAAAAACTCGGCATAATATCCAGCGGTTTTATCCAAAAGCAGAAGGAATTTGAAAAAGGTTTCTAGTTTGCAGGGGAAAGTTTCTAAAACAGGTAAATAACCGGTGGATAACTGGGGGAATCTTCAGAAGTCAACTTGCTATGGACCTTTCTCGACTATCGTGCGTGGGAGAGAGTACAAGAGCTGATTATGTTATAACAAATAAATAAATAAAAGTTACAAACTAACTGATTATTTAACTAAAATAAACTGAAAACCAGAATTTTTGATAAAACTAGTTTGAACTAACCGAAATTTTAGTTCTGTTCGGTTGAAAACCGCAGGCCTAGATTTTTTGAAGATAAAGAGTAGTAAGAAATTTACATTTCAAATTCACTAGATTAAATAAAATGCTTTTGTTGTGACAAATAATTTGAACATTTTTTGTTCAAGACAAGACAGACAGACATTTCAATAAATGATTTTAAGCTGTTATAATTTCCAATTAAGATGTCTTTATTTGCATTATTTCATTTTGTGTGTGACTGAGAATTCTCTGCGCTTTTCACCTCACCTCTAATCGCAATGTTGATAACTGCATATCACAGCCAACATACAATTTGATTTTATTTTTCCTTTTAATCTAAAAATTACTCTTTGATCTCTAATTCAGTTTGTATGTGTAATTATGCATTGAACACAACTGATGCAATCATGCAATACCATGTGATGATAAACTTAGCAAATATGTAACTAAATTCATCTACTTTAATGTGGAACTATGTTAAGAAAAGAAATGTAAACTATGTTAGGACACATGCAGCGGGGCATGCCTAATGAAACATTTGCCATAGATCCCCAAATATTTTGAAGAAAATTACATGAGTATAGGTCCCAAAAAAAATTTTAGGCCCCCAAAATATTTTTTTACATAGAAATCGGCAGAGGCTTCCAAAATCTCAAGGCCGGTCACACACGCTTATTTGTATAGCCTAATCTTTTAGACTAAAACTTGTATGATCTATTTCTAGTTAAGTATCTAGTTTGATTAATAAAATATAGATATGATTATGTAAGGCCGATAAAACATGCGCTATAAAAGAGGGTTTTGAAGTACTAATTTACCACCAAAATCATGCCAATAGAGCATTTTCAGTCTATTATGGGTTATATATTCAAAACAGTACTGTTTTGAAAACAATTTCAACCCTACCACTAGTGCGTGCAATTCTATACAACTAGGTTAAAATGTAAGTAAAGATTTAATGAATAACCGTTGAGGATTATGCTAGCTATGTTGAAGAATATAGAGAGATTAACATTCAAGGTCACTTTTTGAGTTTATCTTACACCATAAGTCACTTTAGCTCCTTGAACACTCTCTTTAACTTATCCCATTCTATATAAACTAAACTCTAACTATATCATAATTTGTAGGGCCTACTTTTCATCTCTCTTCTTCCACTTTCTTTTTTAACTTGTCACGTTTCTTTTTCTTTCTTCTTCTTCTTTCTATTTTTTTTTAACAAAAATCTCTTATTCATCAATTTTTTTTTCCAGACAATTGATTTGATAAACAAAACAAAAAACACAATTTTTTTAAGAATCATAGTGGTGCAGTGTTACAATTCTTCTTTGTTGCGCAGTTTGGTCCTCATATGTGACCGCCGATGAACTTTTTTTGAACTCGATTGTGGTTCGTTATTTCTATCCCTGCGAATCAACACGACCAAGCTTCCTCTTTCATGTGCTCTACAACTTATCCGCCTCATTCTAGGAAAGTATTTCATGGCGATTGTGATGTACGTAAGCCGCCGCACTAGCAAGCCACGATGAGGTCAATCAACAATGGCCAATTCTCACTTTTTACATTTGGTCCTTTAATTGCTTATTTATTCTCAATTTGACCCAAAACTATTAAATTTGTAAATACACTCATTTTAATTAACTTTTAATTGTTCAATCCAACCCCTTATAACATGCATATATAAATTTAAAGAGCAATATAAAAATTTCTGTACACAAAATCGACACTATGTACACAAAAATTCACTTATCCACATGTACAACAATTTACATGTACAAAGACAAAAACAAAAAAAATAGTGTACACGAACAAATAATCTTGCAACTTAATGGAATATGGGTATAAGAACTTTCTCATTTTCAAATGGAATATTTGTATAAGGACATTGTTGACAAAACAAATTGTGTATATAAACATTTGTGTACATAAAAATAATATAAAACATTGGATATAAACATTTTTCTTTGATTTTGTCCCTGTCATGTGTACATCGATTGTTAATGACATATTGTCCCTATCATGTGTACACTGATTGTTAAAATCATGTGTACACCAATTGCCACTTATCACATACAACAAATTCTTTGGATTCATCTTTGATGTACATGTGTACAAGCAAAATTGTACACAAACAAAAATGTTATCTATAAGCAAATTTACCAATGTGCACTCTAGCCTATGTTTATGAAATTAAACAAATATATGCACTAAGTCTAAATACATCAAATTGATTATAACAAACTGAAAAATGATAAAAATCTTAAACATATAATCCAAATCCACAAACTTTCGATGTACACATGTACACGTCACATGGTGTACACAACTAAATTTACATAAAAAATAATCTTTTCATATGAAAACATATTCTCATATGGAAGCATATAATTGGAGAGAGGCTTGCAGAAATTTTCCACCTATATGTGTACAATTTGACCACAAACTTTTGATGTATACATGTATATGGTGTATAAACTAAATTTTACACGAGAAACAATCTTTTATTTGGAACACATGTTCTCATATGGAAATATATCGTTGGGAAAGGTTTGGAGAACTTGTTTTTACATTGGCACGAAGTTATGCAAGTGGACACATTGATACATACGTGTACACATGTATATTTTAGGATGTATAAAAGGATATAAAAGAAGAGTGAATTATTGATATGTCAAAGATTTTAATGGGGTTTTACAATGAAAAGATGAAGAACCATTATCACAATTATGAGGAAGAAATTTAATGAACAATCAATAATTTCAGGGTTAATTCGAGGGGATTGTGAGAGTCGATTCACCCTACTGTCAAATAAATCGTAAATAAGGAAACTTCGGAAAATCCTAAGTTTCCAGAGGAACCGGCTATCTGCGAGAACCGCACAACAAAGATTAAGATGACTAAAACACTTAGAATAAAAACGAAAATAAGAGAGGTTTGAAAGCAAGAAGGTTCTTATTCCGAATCTGCGTTGAACTGGTTACAAAAGAGAGTAGCCGTAAACGTAAGAACTTAGAAAACCCTAATCGAGACGCAGCTCGCTAACAGAAAAACGGAAAGATTCCTAAAATGCTAACTTTGGTGGTGAGAGCTCTGAATTTTCGTGTGTATGCTTCTGCCCTAGACCTCCTCTTTATATACTCCTCATCTTGGCTATCCGATCTTTCCATTTTGCCCAGATTTGACTTAAATCGGGAACTTTCCATTCTTCTCGATCCTTCCTTTTCTTCTGCGGAAATCTCCTATTTCTCTTCAAATCTTCCTTTTATGTTTAAACTTGACTTTTATTTTCTTTCTGCGAGTAAACCGTCAAAACGTTATCAAATCCGCGGGTTTGATACCGTTGAAATCGCGAGATGGGTTTTATCGCGTTTTAGGTCCTTCCGGACCGTTTTGCGATAAAAACCGTTTTCCGACTTTTACGGAATCGTTTCCTGATCT